GTAAACTTATCAGACCTGGTCCCTGGAAGATAGTCAAGGACATTCTGTTCCCACCCTGTGCTCAGTCACACTCTGAATCTCTCTTGTGGGCAGCCTAATTGGAATCAATAAAGCAAAGGAGGTTAGCTGGCTGGAAAATCTTGTCAGAAGTGAAAGACAAGAGACTGAAAATGCAGAGAGATATACTGAGCGAGAAGCAGTCTTTTCATGGTTCTAATGATAGAAAAAACAATTAAAAGGCAGACTAATTATGAGGATATATAACTCATTCTTTAGCCTGTCATTTAATTGAAGGAAAATGGCAACAAGTTTGAAGTATTTTGTCGATGGGGATTTTTAAATGATGAGTTTTTTTTAATGATAATTTCTCAAAACATACATACATACCTTTACATAGTATTATAAAACTGTCTTATTTACTCTCCAGCAAGAATTACTTGACTATCCAAAGGGTGATAAACGGTAAAACATGGGAATGGTCTTCTAAGCAAGGAGTTAAGAAACTTTGTTTTCTCCTTCTGGGCTCAGAGCCCAAAATGACTCACTAATAATTAATACAAGTTGCATGAAGAAGCAAAAGCATACACGTGGAGGATAATTCTTGCTGAGATCCCAGCTCAGATCATCAGTCTCTGCATTATTACTATAAGCTGGCTCCCTCATTTCTATCACCCTACCAGATGGAAGATTATTCCCCAAGTCACAAGTGTATTTTCTCAAAGCTATTTTCTCTTCCCTCCCTTCCTTCCTTCCTTCTTCCAGAGCCAGATTCTCTGTTATCTTATTCCAGTTATCTATTAAATTTGTAATAAATTATCCAAAACTTAATGGCTTAAAACAAAAACCACTGTATTTGTTCATGACTCTCTGGGCCAGGGATCTGGTCGGAGATCAGTGGGGACGTCTCATCTATCCTCCATAATACCTGTGGCCTCAGTGCTGACTGGGCCCCACTTTTCTCATGGTGTCACCTAGAGTGACCTATCTGGGGCTTGAGAATTGAATGTCTGGGCATGTTGGTTCTCCCCCATGTGGCCTTTTTACTCGGTAGTCAAGTCTCACACTGAAAGGTTGATGGGCTTTCCAGAGTGAAAGCAGGTGTTATGAAATCTCTAGAGATCTCCACTTGGAAGTTTCAGAATGTCATTTCTGGGTTCTATTAATCAAACAAGGCAAGTCACAAGCCAGACTAGTCAAGGGGTAGGGAAACAAAGCTCACTTCTTCATGGTAAAAAGAACATTTGCAAACAGATATAGGGGGCATTGTAGGAAGCCATTTTTTGAGACAAACCACTACTTCTTTCAAGAGCTAATTGGAGGGCTGGGGCTTGGTGTAAGTGGTAGAGCACCTATCTAGCTAGGGAAGGCCCTGAGTTCAAACCACAGTATGTTTGTGTGGGGGAGGGGAGAAGACACTAATTGGACACACTAAATGCAGCTTGTGACAGAATGACAGATGACTCCTCTGTCTTCCACACAGAGATCTCAATCTTCAGGTATCTAATCCAAGATTGGCTCTTTCCCATTAGTTTCTAGAAGGCCTAGAAGAGAGGAGGCCTCATAAACATTAGGGTTCAGGTGAAGGTGAAAAGAACTGAGGGAGCTTTGCAATATCATTCTATATGATTATCTTCTGTTTTCCCCAAGTTTCAGATAAGCTATGACCTACATTTAGCTTTACATTAGTGGTCCTTCGTTATCCAGTTTTACGCTCCATAGTTTCAGTTAACTGTTCTTAACTATTGCCCAAAATTATTAAATGGAGAATTTCAAGAGTAAGCAATTCATAACTTTTATTACTTTGTTATAATTGTTCCATTTTATTATTGTTATTTCTAATCTTTTATTCCCTAATTTGTAAAATAATTAAACTTTCTCCTATATATGCATGCATAGGAACAAACATAGTACATGTAGGGATCAGTACTATCTGAATTTTCAGGTATTCAACTGAGACCTTAGACAGTACCCCTAGAGGAGAAGGGGGTACTTTAATCATTTTGTTTTAACATTATCTTGATATTTTCTAGATCACCTTTCAGTTCCTGGATTCTGCAACTACGCAGAATTAGCATTCTTTGATGCCTTACCCCAGCTATTAAAGTAACTTTTCTCTATGAGATGGTACATTTTACTAAGACTTTGTAAGTACTTAAAATTGTTAGGTGATTGAGGGAGTCTTGATTCTTACCATCCTCAGCAAGATTAGGTGCTAGCCTCTCACTTAAGAATACCTCTCGGGAGTAATTCTTTCCTCTGAATTCTTTGTGTTTATACATGCAGTCCATGGCAGCTCCCCTAGAGGCATAGTTGAAATGTATTAGCCCTAACCGCACTCTTGTGAAGACTTACTTAGAGTGTTTGCAACCCTTCCCTTTTGATTTTCCTTTGAGTCTGTGCTCACAGTTGATACCTTACATCAATCTATTATACCTCAGACCACTCCACTACTTGATACGCAGAAATTGCACAGTGAATTCAAATAAAAGACACAAAAAAGTTTTGCTAAAGATGTCCTATATATATATATATGTATATATATATAATTTTTTATTTTAAAATGTCATTGAGCATATATAGTTCTTTAGCTTTTTCCAGGGGACATTGCACCTAAGTTTCAAAACACACAAAATAGATCCCCTTTACTAAACAGTTCTTATTTGGGGTTACAAAAGTCAATGTTTCACAATCACAAAGCATGGAAGGTACATGGTTCTGAAACCATCCAGGCAGATTCTTCTCAATTCACTGGATGTAGAGTAGTTTTGGAAACCCAGACCATGACATATATATTCTTACAAATGACCCCTACCATGGGCCTCCCTGGGTCTCCAAAAAACAACAAAGAAAATTGGAGGCAAAACTGGAGTGAAAGAGTAACCTCAGGACTCCCCAAATAAACACAAAATACTCATGGGAGAAGAGTGAAGGACACATGGTTCTCTTTCTTCAAGTACTTCACAGTAGAAAACAACAGCACATTTAAAACCTTATTTGGTCACTGTCTACCTGGCTGCTACATGAACAAAACTTCATCTAAGACACAGAGGAAAAATTAAAGCTATTTACACAGATAACATTATGGATTAGTAAGAGCAGTACTCCCCAGCCTGGCACTCACATCTGACAAAAAGCCATAGGGTCACATAAGAGGCAAGTCAGGCTGCTCACGTAGTGTTCTTTAAAAAATCCCAGTGTACTCACAGATGCCACAACACCATATAAAACCCAAGTTTTCTCAGAGAGGTGGCCTGTGGCATACAGGTTGCAACACTTCACTGCACTTGTAAGTCCTAAAATCTGAGTTCCTAACATAAAATTCTGTCCTTTGGCCAGAAACTGTTTTTACTATTTCCCTTGATCTGATAACTTTTAGGGTCAGCATGGCTGTTCTTTGCATAGACGAGTTTCACTGCTTTCTCAAAACTGTCCCAGAAGCACTCGCTTACTGTAATTAGAATCCCATCAAAACTTCACATACTCACTCCAAAAACAGCAGAGCAGTTTCCTCAAACTGGTGGAAACAAAAGCATTGATCACTGTGGCCTTCTAAATATAGCTCATTGGTAGATAAGGAAGGAGGCGGGGAGGGGGACATCAAGAAGACCATGTGAATTTTAAAGATGTGGGAACTCTTCCCAAGTGTTTCCACAGTAGTGATCTTGGTAAACCGAAACCCCTGCCCAAATGGCCAGGGGCTAAATCTGACTCCCAGAACTCTGATTCTTCCTCTTCAATATCCACCTATGGCTATAATTCCTTCCGTGAAGTGAGTGAATACTTAACAGAGAAGAGTAAGAAGAGTGTGAGACAGCTGACTTTACACAGTCCTATGAAGGTAAGTTGGTAGGAATTTAAACAATTAGACACTCTAAATCCTCCAAAGGAGGAAATTAACTGAAATACCCACTTTTGTTTTGTTTTGATTTCTTGAGACAGGGTCTGACTGTGTAGCCAGTCTGGCCTTAAACTCTTGATCCTCCTGCTTCAGCCTTGAAATCCCTTGTCCTTCTAGACAGGTGAGTATGTAGCCTAGCTTGGTTTCCAACTCTGCCCTTCTGCCTCCAGGACAATAATTGTCTGCACAACCACGGTGGGTCCCTCTCCATCTGTGTGACTGCTGGCACTGCTCTGACTCTGGGTGTTGCAAGAGCAAAGCTTTGGTGGCTGACCAGCAAAACACTGCAGAGGATGGATGGGCTGTGAGCTCACACTCTTTAAGGAAGTGTCACCAAATAGTCCAATAGGTAGGGGCCAGTTCAGCAAAGAGATTTAGGGCTGAAAGGGCCTTTCATTAAAGGAAGTGGCCACACAACCCCCAAGACAACCATAAAGACTTGACTAGGAAATCAAAAGCTTTTCATTACACAAGACTTCCTCTGAGGCTATTAGGGCAAGCAGATTTGGCTATAAGTCAGATACACAAGATTTCAGAACCACATATAAATACGTTCTAAAGAATTCTGAGTGTGTTTCCTTTTGACCTTTCCAGGAATGCTCCAAGGGCCAACCCGTTACATAGACACAGTTACTATTTTGGGACTGAGAGACTTGGGGCCTGGGTGAAAAATAAGGCCAAAATGGAGTGAGCTTAATTCACAGAGCATTATCAGTGCTGGGCAGATCTGCCATGGGCATTAACAAATTATTTTCCCACTTTGATTTATTCACCTCATTTGTAGTCTTTCTCCCATCCCCCCAACACAAACATGGCTTTAGTTTGCTACTAAGATCTTTCTACCCGAAGGGACTTAGGGATAGAATTCCTTGAAACGTTTCTAACTAAAACCAGTAGGATTAAAATGCTCAAGGTTTAGGATAATTTGAATGAGGGGTTTGCAGAGCTCTTCCTGAGACATGCCTTGGCAGTAAATGAATTGGTGAATTGAGTCAAAAGTTTTTGTAACATCTACATGATATCTACACCCATGTTTGACTCTCGTGGCTTGAATAAGACTAGAGAAGCTCAAAGTAGAGCCCAGAGAGAGGTCCAGAAAAGCAAAAAAAAAAAAAAAACCAAAAAAAAAAAACTGAGAAACAATGGGAAAGATCCCAAAGAAGGCGGCTCAGGGTCCTCCACGGAAGACTTTCTCGTTTCCAACTTCAATGTGACTTTGAATATAGGGGCAGGAACAGAAAGTAGAGCACACTGCTGGAGGATGCCCAAGCATTCTCCCATAGCCTCACATACTTCCAGGGAAACAAGTGATGCACCACAAACCTCCCCACACGGATGTTCAGGGGAGCTCAGATTTACTGGGAGTGGAATGCTACCAGATGAAGATGACTCCTGACAAGGTAGTGGCCCAATTCTCAGGCAACATGTTGGCAAATACCTGGGAGGATAAATTCCCACAGTGTTTCACACTGTGTATTGTTCCATGCTGTATAATGAATTTATCCCTGAGGAGGAGGGCTCCAGGCCTACCCCAGGAAGGCATCTAAAACTCCAGGAATGTAAGAGAATTACCACCCTGGAGGAGAGGTTTCCTGTCCTCTCCTCTAGAGAAGAAATTCACACAACTTGGAACTCCAGCATTTGGGGACAGAACACCAATGACCTTTTCTTTTCTTAGGTTGGAAGAATGTTTGAATTACACAGTTGTCAAAACGGTGACAACAAACCAGCAGCCCTACACAAAGAAGACTAAGTAATTAGATATTGTTCTACAAGGCCCCCAGCTTAGAGCAGAAGTCTGCCTAAGAGATTTTAAAAATCAACTTTGCCATTTGTCCTGGCAGAGAACAGTGGGCAGATAGGACGTCCAGTGCACATGTTGTGGCCGTGTTGGGGAGGAACTCAAAGAGATGGACCCATAGCAGGAACAGGGTCTCAGTTCTTGGGTAACTGCAACATGATTCTCTGCAAGGGATAGGGAGAGCGGCCTGAGAATGACTGGTCACCATTCAAATTCAGTTTTATCAAAGTGCCATTGCTAGTGGGTCTTACACAGTGATGACAGAAAAAGAGCTGTTGACAGAACTCTGATACTCACACTTTGGTGTGAGCTGGAGGACAGTCACAGCCCACAGTGACATCTGGACCCAAAACTGTCCTCAATGAGGTATGGTGAATTGACTGATCTGAGAGCTTCCCAAACTGCTCCATGACATGCTGCTCTCTGTGTGTCCTCAGGACACAGCAGATGGGAAAGGGACAAGTATTCCAGAAATAAAAGCCCAGACTCTCACAATGAAACCTCCAGCCACACAAGGGGGACTAATAGTTCCAAATAAACACCCACGTTTTCAAGAAAACACACTGATTTGGTAAGAATGCAACTCAGGAACAATGTTACACAACACGCAGGGCACTGCCCCAGACCGCTGCCTGGGTGGTGTGGGGCACAGGACACAGGGCCAACCCAGTCTGGGTTGGACTCTGACACAGAAATTCCTCAGCAAGGAGCTGGAAAGTCCCAGTTCTGTTCTATGGAGGGAAACAAAGATTCAAGGAATGTCAAAACGAAAAAGAAAAAGAAATCCCTGCCTCACCCCATCATCACCACAAAAGAATAAAGCAAAAGGGGGGAGGCTGGGGACAGAAGGAAGGAGGGAGGCAAAGGAAAGCAGAGCCCCTGAAATAAACCTCGTGCTTACTAGAAGATGGGTGCTTATACTTTCTGAGGCATGACCCCAACTTTCAAATGCAGCACTTTTAACCTGGAGAGAAATTGGCAGCCTGACAGGCTGAGGAATCATCTGCCAGTTATACCTGAAAATGGCTGCCCCAGCTACTCTAGATAAAATAAATATGATATTTCTGCCCAAATTAGGCAATAGCCACCTAGGAGATCTCTAAAAGAAACCAACAAAAATACAACACTCTGTGGCAGGCTTTGTGTTTTGCTCTTGTTGAGTGTCCAGATCTCTTACTAAAGAAGAAATGGAAGCCTATGGGTCATCTTGAAGCACAGCCAGAGGCCTTTTGGCAGCAAACTTCCCACCTGGGCTGGGAAGAGACTGCATCACCTGGAACCCAGCCCAGGCAACTTCCCAGTTCCGCCCTGGCCAGAGGCATCCCAGTTTTCTTCCCCACTATCCTCCCAATCTCCTGGGTCACTTTCATGACAGTTTGTTTCCGTGTATTAAAGGAATGACATATACAGAAATGTCATCTCCTGAGCCTAGTCGGTCATTTGATATCCGCCATCCTCTGTCCTTCAGGACACCACGGGCACGCATCACCAGGTCCTGAGCTGCCAATGTGTACCTGTATAGGGAGAGGCAGGAATGAGACAATTAGTACAGTATTCAGCAGAAGCCAGGATCAGGCAAATCTGGGAAGGAGGAGGCATCACTACAGATGTAGTTTTCAAATACCTTTAAAATCAAGAAAAACTGAGGTCATCTTTTCCCAAAATGTGGGAGGTGTGATATAAGAGTACTTTTCAGGAGATAGGCAGACAAGGTATTAACTACATTAAACAGTCTCCTGCATTATTCTGCTGCCCAGTCCTCTTTTGATGTTGTTTATTACATTGAGGAGAGTCTAAGTTTCATGTTAGTGTATTTTGACAAAAATTCATGCAGGGCTCAGAGATTTCCAAGGCAAACAGTATCCAGCTAAAGGAATACAGGGGAAAAACAAGAACATCTGTCTTCGATATTTATTTTTAGGGCTATATTCCTTTTGTGACAAAGGCTAGTCATTTTCCATTTATGGTAGGGGTAAATCTTTGAAAATAAATTTGCTTTTAAAAAGTGAGTTGATCTAAAGAAAAATATTAATGACAGTGTCTATAGAATAGGAATACAGCAAGAATAAAGAGTTTTTTTTGTTTGCTTTTGGTAAATGGCTAATAAGCCTTGGTATGAGTGAGCTGTTCCACTCATCCTAATCAATGTTAGCTTCTTTTAGATCAGTATAAGAACAGTGAGAGATCCTTTAAGAATTTGAAAATAAGATTGCTCATTGAGATTTAAACTGTAAACGTAAGGAAAAGGAAAGATACTCTAAACCAATAGAAAGATCAACATCTAAAGGAGTCTAACAAGGGAGGTGATTTGAGTGAGCACAGGCATAAAATATAGACAAAACATTGGCAGGTGTCTATATAAATACTGATCAGGCAGACAGTCCCTTAGCTGATAGACTTCAAAGAAGGTTGGCAGGAACTTATTTGGTGTGCGATGGATTACTGTCTTAGGCTATGCCAGTAAACATATGAGTCACCTTTTTTTTTTCTGATTTCACATTCACCAAATAACCTTCTGATTATGATCTGCCTCCTTGCATAGATTTGCCTACAGGGAAAGAATTAGGCAAGTCATTTGTACTTTAATATAACAGATATAACTGAATATCAGTGATATTTCTCTGTATAAGTGTCAAGTAGCATTATGGTTTACAATATTGTGAGCTTGGTTAAGGCAAGCCCAGGTCTGATAATGAATCTATTCTTTATATATTGATTATATCAGGTTCTGAATGTGAAAAGCTAAGATCCGGATTCTGGTAAACCAACAAGAAAATAAATGCTGCCCTATAAGGCCTCTTGGAAGCTAACCTGTGGTATTTTTACAAGGGACCACCCTGATAATGCTAAGTGACCTTTTCCCACAATGGAGTATCTCAGCCTTGCCTTCAGAACTCTTGGAGAACAGGATTCAGAAGCCTCTCTATCTCTTATGTTAAAACCTCTTATGAATTACAGACATCCATGTTAAAAAGAGACCTGCTTTTAAGAACAAGGGCAGCAGCAAGTGATTTCAGGATTTTGAATATTCTAAGTAGTAGCGTTTTTTTAGAATCAAACTACTCATATAGCCCAGGTAGCAGACAGAAGTGTATAGGAGACACTGTACTTAACACAAAATGAATAACTTTCCTTCTGGAGGATGGGTAGCGGGTGAGGAGGAGAGACATGTTCTTTTTCTACCTGCATGGACAGAATTATTGGCTTTGACACACAGCTCTCTTGTTATACTTGGAAGAAGATATAACCAGCTAGTCCTTTCTGAGGAGTCTCTTCCTGAGATCAAGAAATAAACAGAAAGGCATCCAAAAAGGCATTTGGCTGAAGAGAAAACTAAATGCCTTCCTCACTGCCACACATTGCAGCTCATGTACTACATTCAGAAGAGCTTTTCAGATGCTCACCCAGGTTACTTAGTTTTATATTAAATTTTATATGTGAGATACAGACATACAGGGAAAGGCCACCAGCAATATTAAGGTGGTGTTTATTGTCTTGGTGATTGACTACACTCTGCACCTTAGCTTTTCTTTTTCTTTTATTATCGTTGTGCTGGGTGGGGGTATATTGAAGACCTTAGCTTTTCAGATACAGAAACTTGCCTGAGTCAAGGAGTTGATTCATCCATTGAGATGAACATACCTTAAACCAACTCATGAGTTGACAAGATGTAGAAAATGATGGCAAGATGTGAAAAAATACGGCCGACAATAAAAGAAACACTTAAAGAAGACAGAAAGAGCAGATTCAAAGGACTCCAGACAGCTCTCTGTGGGCCTGTGGTCATAGAGAAATGGCTGAGAGATCAAGACAAGGTTAGATGATGACATCTCATTTGCTTTATTCAAGTCATGAAATCATCATTGTAGTGAAATGCAAGAGAACACTCTGATATTGCTGTTGCTAGTGATTTCAGGGTTTTAAAATTTTGTTTATTTTGCCTTTTTGGGGGCAGGGTTTCAATATAGCCCAGGCTGGCCTTGAACTTGTGACCTTCCTGCTTTAGCCTCCCAAGTGCAGGAATTACAGGCCTGTTCCACCACGTCCAACTTTTGGGGTATCTTTTTAAATAGGCAAAATTAGCTTTGGCATTTTAAAAAGTAAGCATTTGGCCACCCAAAGACAATGTCTTCTACCCAGGAAACTCATTTCCTTGATCATTAAAATTTTGTTCTTAAACACAGTTGTCTTCTATTTCAAGATAAGTTCCTTTGATACTGTTCCTCTTTTTTACTATCAATTCTGTCTTCCCAATTTCTTCTTCAGAGAGAAATCCTCTCTTGCTTCCTCAATATTTTGCTTCTCACTTTGTTCCTTGGTCTCTTACCTGTTGACCAATACTCTACCAGTTGTCCTCTTAGAGCTTGATCCGAAGACGGCTTCTTGATACTCATTCTGCCCAACCTTTTCTAGCACAAATACTGCTGACCATTTTCTTTATTCTTGAAATAAAGAAAATTATTGCTTCCTGAGTTTTCCTTTCTTTTTTGGGCATCCTTGCCATTATATAGTACATTTTCTTCCTGCGTTTCAGTCTCCACAACACATGGCACAGTTCTCTCTGATGCTCCTTAATTTCCTTTATGGGTCCCAATTAGGAAAGCTGGATACTGGTGGTTCATGCCTGTAATCCTAGCTATTCGAAAGGCTGAGATTGGGAGGATTATGATTCAAGGCCAGCCTGGGCAAATAATTGTGTGAGACCTCCCCATCTCCAAAACAGTCAGAGCAAAATGGACTGGAGGTATGGCTAAAGAGGTAGAGCACCTGGTTGGCAAGTGTGAAGGCCTGAGTTCAAACCCCAGTTCCACCAAAAAAAAAAAAAAAAAAAAGACGTAAGAAGAACTCAGTAAATGCTCAGTTATTTTCACTTTGAAGGTTTGACTATCATATCTATCCGTCATCCTTAGTTAATGCCATCCTAGTTTCTGAAGCAAGTAATCACAGCCTTCTCATTGCTACTTTCTCACTATGATATGTTTCAATTATAAAACTCACAAAGCAGAGTTGAAATTCTAAACTTTGACTTGTTTTAAGTATATTTCTTTAGTGGTACATGACTAATTAAAATAAGATCTAATCTTATACTCATTAAGGGCAAGCTACATTGTTTATTGTAGCTTCTTTCATCTTCCAGGTAACAGCCTAAAACTGTAGTTTCACTTTTTCAGCTTCCATTAGCAATCATTGTTCTTTATAATCTAGAGATAGAAATAAACCAATGTTCTTACTAATTTTTTGCTTTTCTCATTCTGGATTTAATTTCCTTCAATAGATATATTGTTTCAGTAATTCTTTTAACAGTAGTCTGTAAGGTATAAACTCACCTAATTCTTGTAGAAGGAAAATATTTTTTACTTTAATCTTTAATAATAAAGCATAGAATTTGAGATTGATTGTTATTTTCTTTGAGTAGTTTGGAGATGCTACCCCATTTACTTCTCACGTCTCTTATTGAGAAGAAATATTGTTTTTGTTGTTGGTGGTTATTTCCACTAAGATAACAATGAGGATTCCTTTTCATTTACCATGGTTAGAAATTAGTTTTATTTCTTCAAATAGAAAATGTTTAATTCTGGAAAATTTTCAGCCATAAACTTTTAAACTATTACTTCTCTATTTTTTTAAGATATTTGCCATACACTCTTACTAGACCTTTCCACTTTACCTTCCAGGTTTAAGCTTCCACGCAGTATCTTTCAACTCACAAGTTACTTGTTTAGTAGTTTACTATTTAACCAGTTAAGTGAGTTACTTTAGTTCAATGATGCTGTTTCACAATGCGATTTCTGTTTGGTTCTCTTCCAATTCTACCTTATGATTCTATTTATATACATTTAATTCTTCTTTCAAACTGTTCTATTTTTTTCTCTGTGGGAGGGTTGGAGGGAAGGCTCTATGGTATCTAACTGTTCCTTCTCATGGTGGTTTGAAGGTAAAATATACTCTTGTCTTCAGGAAGTAGTTGTTTATGTTGTGCCCTGGGTTATCTATGGAGATTTAAAAATCAGACTCTATAGTGGCAGAACATGCTATGTTAATTTTTTTGGCTTAGAGCCCCATGGCACAGGAGTAGTATGAAGTTATCCTCACACTTTTTGTGTGCCAGGCCTTCCTGGGAAGGGATAGGATAGCCCCAACCTGAGGGAGAAGCATAGGGAGAATCCCTAGGACCTCTCACCCCCTCATGTTCCCAGGAACTGAGATTCCGCCCCATGACTTCTCCTTAACAGGTTTCACTAGTGTGTGTGACACTCCTCCCTGTCAGAGAGCAGCCTAAACAGACAAGTGCAGAGAACAGAGCAGATACTACAGTCTGTAAGTCAACACACTTCCTAAGCTCTAGGCCCAGCTTCTTGACACGACGACCTTCATGCTCCAGGAGATCCAGCATTACACTTAAAGTCAGAAAACAGGAAGACTCTAAAGATTTGGTACTAAGGCTGAACACAAGGGCACACATGTGCCTTAGACTGAGGGTTGTGGTCAGAACATGCAATTTAAATAAAAACAC